CCGGCTTTACTGATAAGATGCGCGTTAAATATCGCATGCGATTTATCGTGCAGCCCTAATTTAAACTTTAGTTGATTTAGTTTTAAGACAAAAAAAGTTCTGAGTTTGAATATCAATAGCTTATTGGTTATTTGCCATAACAAAAATAAATATGACTTATCGTTATCTGCCAGATTGTTAATATTGGTGCATCCCTAATATATATACATATTGTTATCAGCATTGCCCAGTAAAGTTGGTGGTCTTTCTTACACTTATAATTTAATAACATTTTTAAATGTAACATTTAGCAAACTGCAAAATGAATAGACCATATGCTTCTCCTTGAAACAGTATAACTGTGATGTCTACATTCACTTCTAACATTTCAAAAATGGTTGTTTTTAGTATTTTTATTTAGACAAAAAGTTCAGAATTGAAATATCGACCATTTATCATTTATCAGGACTGGCCACAAAAAAATAAATAAAATAAAAAATGCATACATGCATACTGGTTGACCAGTAGGTGGTCTTCATTATATTAGAATAGCAGACATTTGTTTTGCCCAAGCAGTGAACGGTATATCAGGCTGTGGATTGAGTCAACATCACACGCCATTTCACCAGGACTGATCACAACTTGATCTCTGAACCAAAATGTTGTCAGTCTAAACAAACAAGAAAGCGCTTACTAACTGCCCTAGTAAGGGAGCTTTGGTTATCTGCTGTTATTGAATGTCTTGCTGAGTCAGTGGAGTATGCCTCACATTAACCTTTTGCCATTAGCTCATACTTATGCCCCTGCAGCTGGTCACACTTGTCTTCACCGTCAGTAAGGACTTGTGCTTTGAGGGATCTAATTTCATAGACAATTCCCAGCTTGGCAGCACTGTAACAGGACGATGCAAAGCTATGTAAATCTTCTAGGTCTTTGTGTACAGGTTGTAAGTAACAGTAGTGTTAAGGTGATGTTGTTTCTGTTCCATATACGAGCAACTCCTTTCTACTTCCTTAGTCTGACACCGGTCAAGTGATGACCTTATCTTCCTGACTTCTGAGATGAAGTTATCTTAAGCCAGAGTTCACTTACTAATGGCTAATGACGGAGATAAAGTGTTTCTGCTCAACTCAATGAAACCGATTTGTTTTAATTATTTTGGGTTTGTCCTTGAAATCTAACCCCTGGCATTTCTGCCACACTGTACCAGCAACTGGGACACTAGATAAAACAAGTGTATCAGGTTTCATCTGTACAAACATTAATAGATGTCTGGTAACCTTGTGCTTTAATGTCAAGACGTTCGTCAGTCCACCCTGTCTTTAGGCTAGGGCAGCTTCTGCAGGATTTTTGTGACTTCATACTAGTCATTAAATGAGAAACCGAGAGACACTATTCACTGGCCAGGAATGTGTCTTTTGTGTGGCGAATGTGACCGTGTCCTGTAATAAGCCTCGCTTGTCTCATTAAAGCAGCTGAATGAATACAAACTGTTCCACTTGAAGCCTCAAACTCTATTTTCTCATAGAAATGTCTCGTAGGGCTGTGTTTCAGTTGAGTACACTTGAATAACATACATTTCCTTTATTTCTTACTGTCATTCTCATCAGATTGCACATTTTGGAGCTACACATCGGACACTTCCCTAATCTTTCTGAACTTTGATCTGGGATCCTTAGTTGGACACGGCAACAAACTCGCTCTATCTCAGGCTTGGCCTGATCCCTTCATCTTTCAGTCCCCTTCAGCTTCTCAGCAGATGTGCGTCTGAACATGGACCTGAGTACCATTCTCTTGTTCCCAGTACATGCAGTAGTATGGCTCTACTCCCTCTTGAGCTTTCTACCATGGTACTTCATGACTGGAGTTCAGAAAAAGAAAGCCCTGGCAAAGAGAGTCAAATCCAGGTCAACCACCGGTCAGGCTGAAGGGCCGTATCGTTCCGTGGATCGCTTCGACTCCCTGGTCACGGAGGACTACGCTGGAAAAGACACGCTTGATAAGCTGTTTGACTATGCGGTGGAGCGTTTCGGTAAAGCGGACTGCCTGGGAACCAGAGAAGTTCTGAGCAAAGAAAATGAGACTCAGCCGAGTGGGAAGGTCTTCAAAAAGGTACATCCTCCTCTGACATATTCTGTACGGCTATGCTCACAATGCAAGCCAAAGTGCCTAATTGTAATTTTCTGCTCTAATCCAATTTATTTAGTGAGGTTGTTCACATGACCTTTTTAATTTGGCTCATATCAGATGCTGGTCTAAACGAGCATACATTTTTAAACAAGCATAATTTATGCATAAATTATGATAATAATAGCATCTTAAACAAATTTTATTTAAACATGTACACTACTGGTTTGGGGTTGTAAGATTTTTTTGTTTCTTAAAAGAAGTCTCTTATGCTCACCAAAGCAGCATTTCTTTAATAAAAAAATACAGTAAAATAGTGAAAACTATTTTCTATTTCATATATTTTAAAATAAATTTTATTCCTGTGATTCAAAGCTGAATTTTTTTAGCATCATTCATTACTCCAGTCTTCAGTGTCACATGATCCTTCAGAAATCATTCTAATATGCTGATTTGCTGCTTAAGAAACTTTTTTTTTTTTAAATGTCTTTATTTGAAATGGAATTATTTTGGAATAATGTAAAAATTAATGTGAAACTCTTTACTGTGATGTTTGATCAATTTAATGCATTCATGCTGAATATAGTCATTTCTTTCAAAATGAATTTTACTGACCCCAAAACGTTTAAAATGTAGTGAATTTTCCTTTATATATAAACATTATATTTATAGATATTCATACAATTATAAACGTTAGTATATAAATATTTATATATCACAATTTATTATTGTGAAATTTAAAATAACATTTTAATATTAAAAACTAATTTACATTTTAAAGCTGTAGTCCGTAAGTTTTGCCTCTTTGTTGCCATCTCTGTTTGAAAACCTGGAATTGCAGCTGTGTGCGGAATTATCTTCCTTGCGTGGGTTGTACTCTGGCACAGCTCCAGCGCAGATGAATCTAATGTTTTGAGGAGTATGTGTGGCAGTCAGTCACCGCACCGGTGTGAATCCTATACTTAGTAATGACAGATTCTAGCCTACGTCTTGGAATATATGACCCAAATAAGAATTTTCACCGTAAATTGTCATCTGAACAAGTAAGTAACAAGTCTGCCACATTTGTTCTGACCAACTGAGGAAAAAAGCATTACAATAAATCGTGCTATATGGGGATTTAATCTAACGATCGATTAGCTCATACCACATCAAACCGTGCAAATTATTATTATTGTTATACTTTATTCTCAGATTATTAATGTCATCAACATCAGCATTGCCTGACTATGAGTATAGTGTGTGTGTGTGTGTAGATTTAAATTTCTGTACAGTCTAATCTCTAATTGTCATACCATTAGAATTTCATACCAAGAAATTCTTTTAACCCAAAAAGCAACTGGTTCTTCGATCTGGTTTTCTTTCAAATACAAATCTTGTGTAATCCCAGGCTATCTGTAATCAGAAGCACATTTAAAACTGGAATATAATTTAATTTCATTCACATGTGTTTCATATAATCCTTTCTGGATTACAATCCGCCATCAAAATGATTTTTTGACATTTAATTATTCCAGCTGCTGTTAGAAAAGTCTATAAACGATGCAGCATCCTCACATGCGATAGCCTAGTAGCCAGGACAACTTCTTTATGTTTACAGACGTGTCGTAATGACGCGGCAGCATGCTCGAATTTCCTGCGAAAACCTATCCGTACGATTTAAATTAGAAAACATTATTATAAGATAACCATTGTGAATCGGGCTAAAGTAAGGCGATAGTTTTGAACACTGGCTGGTTATGTACTTGCTCAAATATTGATTATGGATCATTTTTAACCAAAAAAAAGTTACGGACTGCAGCTTTAACATAGCTTGTATTTATGGTTCACAACAAGAGTAAATCAATTCTAGAAATCGGGTTAAATTGACATACAAATCACATAAATTCCTACCCGAAGGTGAAGTCACATCGTAAAACATCTGACATATCTGAATTCCACATATATAATTGGGGATTGCAAAAATAGATGAATTGAAAATGTCACATTCAGTATTCATTTTGCTGTTCACACTGTCATCCAACATTTGCGTCACATTCAAATGCAATGTGAACACTGCCAAAATTACCATTTGTTGAGAGGAAAAACAAATATATATATTTTTTAATATAAAGGTGTTTTATGGCTTTGTCTTGGCAGTTAATTCTGGGCGATTATAAATGGTTGTCCTATGAGGAGATGGACACTCAGGTCAGTCAGTTTGGGAGCGGACTGGCAGCACTAGGCCAACAGCCAAAAAGCACCATCGCGATTTTCTGTGAAACACGGGCAGAGTGGATGATCACGGCTCAGGCCTGCTTCAGACGCAATTTCCCATGTAAGGAAACAAATTATTTTTACTCTCACTTTCTCTTTTTTTCCCTTAGGAAAAATTATTTCAAGTGAGTCATAGGTTTTATCCCTTCATGCTTTAATGTGATGACGCATAGATGTACTGTGAATGTATTGTGTTTGTCTTGATCTTCTCTTGTTAATCTGTGTTTCATGTGGTTTTTGTAGTGGTCACCTTTTATGCAACTCTAGGAGAAGAGGCAGTGGCTTTCGGATTGAATGAGTGTGGAGCTACACACCTGGTCACCAGCGTGGAACTGCTGGAAACCAAACTGAAGGTGAGCTAAAGACAGCGACGTAACAGTTTCAGTGTTTCCTGTACTACTATCACTACAGATTCACAGCAAAACAATATATTACTAGAGCTGATTTGAATTGAATGGGTTAAAATAATGGTACCATGAATCAGTGCCAACTTAGCACGTATTTCAGTTCCTTTCTCTTTGGTAACTGAACTCATAAAACCAGTGTAGTCCATATAACAAACAAACAAATTCCAAGTGCTTTTAAACATGACTCATGAACTCATGGGTTATTAGTTTGAATCACTGAATGAACTCACTGAATCAGTTAGAACAGTTACCAAATTAACATCTGACTCACTGAATCGCATGTCTTTATATTCAGTCATGTTTGTCTCAGTGAATAACTTCTATAAGAAAAGGGTTTAACAGTAACGGCAAGTCAGGCCCTGTACTGTAGTTCAAATTTTTCCAGTGGGCCACCAATATCATAAGACATTTGATATTTGGTTAAATACATGCCCTTGTGTCAGGTGACCAAAATTCAATGTCATGACCTGTTCTAATGCCAATGTCAACTTGACGAGAATAGTGACGAAAGCTGATGTTGATATTTTGTTGGTTTTAAGGCGTGGTATTAAAGGTGCCATAGAATGGAAAACTGTATTTACGTTGGCATGGTTTAATAATAACAGTTCTGTACATGGAAATGACATACCGTGAGCCTCAAACACCATTGTTTCCTCCTTCTTATGTAAATCTCCTGCATGCAAAAGACCACTAAAAATAGGCGAATCAGAACATAACACCGACTGTGACGTTACAGTCGGGATCACTAATAGTTACGCCCCCAATATTTGCATATACCCACCCATGTTCTATGCCAGCCGCCAGCCAAACCTGCACAGCCGAATCATCAGGAGTTCTGCAGGTATTGTGAAGAAACAAGCGAGGATAATAGCGAAAATGGCAGATCATGGAAATAAATGTTATGTTCCAGGCTGTGCAGGGGATGTGATGTGCAGGGATGGGTTGGTGTCTGTATTCAGAAAGGCACGGAAAACAAATATTGCGCGTTCTAATAAAATAACGCGAGCCACTAAAGGGACATGATTAGCTGCTTGCTAGCAGTAGCCTGTTACATTACAGTACATAAGATTTCACTTAGCACATAAACAGAGTAAGGCGAGATGACTGAGGATGATGGCGAATGATTTGCAGATCCTGAGCACCACTGACAAGCATCTGATCTTGTAAAATGTGTGGTAAGTACTGCCGCTGTAGTTTACACAGATCACGTGCGATCGCAAATCTCGAAAGTGAAAGTAAAACGCGATCGTGCATTCGAATATATTAATAGCGGCTCCCTGATGCCCGCATTTTATATACAGTATAATTACCCAACGATATAACTGCGAGAGAGAGTATTGAAATATATATTTTCCCTGTGTTTCCTTCAGTAGCTTTGTGAGCTACTGAAATGAGCTGCACTGTGAAACAGCCAATCAGAGCAGAGCTCAACATTATTATTCATGACCCTTCCAAATCAGGTAAAAACAGTCCATTTCATTCTAGGGACAAATCCTAGGGTTGTAAATGGACATGTAAAACCGTTTCTGGAGATTTTTTGCCCTTACATAAGTCACATACCTTCTATGTAGATATCAGAGAACAATTTAAAATATTGTATCAATGCATTCTATGGCACCTTTAAGTAACCAAAATTCATGCCAACAACATATTGACACCAAACACAGACATTTAGCCATGATGGTAACCAAAAACCAATGCCTGCTAAATGTCATAATGTTAACTTCCATGCAGCTTAAATATATAACATCATTAGATGTTGATATTTTGTTGGTTTTAAGTCATCGTATTAAGTAACCAAAATTAAACGTCCATCCAATGTTGGGTTTTGATGTCAATCAGATTTTCAAACCTAAGTTTAACTTGACGTCTGGTGCCACCTGGGTTTACTTGCCCTGCCGCTTGAAATGTTTATACTTTTCATTAAATATTCTGTTTCCATAACAATTTTTATTCCCCTACAGAATGTTCTTCCACAAATCCCCAGTCTGAGGCAGATCATCTATGTGGACAGGAAGAGCATCAGCACAGCAGGATATCCACAGGGCATCCAGATCCACAGCATGCACTCTGTGCAAGAGCTGGGAGCCAAGCCAGAAAACCGTAAGAAAGAGCACCAACTTTACGGTTGACATTTTATTTATATGCTAACTAACCTTTTCAGTGATTGCCTGTAGTTTGCCCACAGTTCACCCATACAATATTGATCTGAATAGAGATTTGCACTGTAATAGATTCATCTCTATCACCAGAGGAGAAAACAATGTGCGCTTTGTGTTGCAGTGAGCAGACCCATAGTGAAGCCCGTCCCATCAGACCTCGCTGTTATTATGTACACCAGCGGCTCCACCGGTAGACCTAAAGGGGTGATGATCATTAACAGTAACCTGATCGGGGGCATGGCAGGCCAGTGCGAGAGGATACCTGGATTGGGGTGTGTATAAATATCAATAGGGTGCCACAGTGGCCACCCACTTTTTCAGCAGACTTGGTTCCAAAAGTATTTTATTTTAGATTTCCCATTTATTTTCTTTAACCATACAGATTTTAAAATATCTTGGTGTTATAAGCCAAAACCAAACCAACTAGCTATGAGGTGAAACACAATATTGTACACTTTTTATACTATGATTTGAAGCAAAACTGCATTTCAAAAACAGACAAAGAGACAAGACTGTGTATTTACAACTTTAATGAGAAAGAACTACAATCCCATAAAGCATTACTAATTATATAATCAAATTAAAAACAATGGAGAAATATATATATACAGGGTGTCCGCGGGTCCTTAAAAGGTCTTAAAATGTCTTAAATAACGTTTTCCTAATATAAGGCCTTAAAAAGTCTTAAAAAGTCTTCAATTCGGAATCGATGGGTCTTAAATATTTTTGGTCTCATTACCGCTAAAATATCTTCAGTCTGACGGACCTAATGACTGTTTACAATCATTGGACAGACCGAAGATGTTTTCTTCCCGCGGTAAATTACTGCGTCATCAGAGAGAATTGCTGTAAATTAGCAGAATACAAGCTCGCGCTGAGGCTCACTCTGTTTGTCTCGATTTAAGTATGTAAAAGCTGATAGAACACTGATAAAAATTGCTTCAGAATAAATTGTTTACGCCACTAAAAATCTCAGTGATGCAGTTATTTTGTGGGGATATTTTGTATGGAATATTGTCTGCTGACATGAAAAGTTCACTGTATATCATAGTAATAAATACCATTTATTACAGCATTGATATTTTGTTTTCTTTTTAATTTATACACATTAAATATTACATATACAGTGGGTACGGAAAGTATTCAGCCCCCCTTCAATTTTTCACTCTTTGTTATATTGCAGCCATATGCTAAAATCATTTAAGTTAATTTTTTTTCCTCATTAATGTACACACAGCACCCCATATTGACAGAAAAACACAGAATCGTTGACATTTTTGCAGATTTATT